ATTGCCTTATTCCATCAATTCAGTCCAGTCCAATTGCTGTTACTACTAACGATGCATACTGATGCGTATGGGGTGTACCTTTTGTTTTTTTAACGACCAGTCCTGAATTAACGTTCTTTAGGACTAAACATTCTGACTTAAAGATGCAGGAAAACTAAATTGAGGAACGATTGATGCAGGTTTAGTTTCTGCAGTTAAAATGGAATTTGTCTGGGGGTACACCTATAAATTTAGCAATGTTTCCTGGAATGCAATACATCCAGGAACAATAAATAGATTGACATTTTTCTGTAATTGAATATTTGTAATTGTAACTATATAAATTTTAAAATATTTATTAATAAAGTTTGAATAAAACATGATTTTTTTTAAATTAGTAAATTAATAACTATTACAATTTACTTATTGATATTACATGAATGAGTTTGGCATTAATTTTCCTATGGTTATACATTTTCTTAAAAATTTGGGAAAAAATGAATAAATGTTTAATTTTATAAACTCAGTAGTATAAATTTTTTAAAATTGAACTTTTATGATTGAGTTTAAGTAGTAGTTGATTGAGTAAGAAGTTTTGCATAAGAAATTTTTATTGGACTTTATGACTAATTATATGTTTTATGGATTTGATAAGAGTTCTAAGTAAAATTAAATATTACAAAACATTTTTAAAATATCAAATACTATTTTTAATGAAACTGTATTATAAACAAAATGAGTGTAAGTACTATTTATTAATAAAATAATATTTAAAGGACTAGAAGCATTAAGAGTGTAAATAGGTTCACCAGAAGATATAATAGATTAATAGTTTAAGTGAATATAGAGAGTTGATATTTTTGAAAATGCTTGTTTTGAATTAAATGATTTTCTTAAGCATTTTAACCTGATCCATGATTACGACAGCATAATTGCAACAAACATTCAGTGAATTTAATTATTTAGTGTTATATATGCTTCGTTACTTATGGCCGTTTAGTAATTCAATATAATGACATTTTGATATGAGATTCTCTCAACTCAAAACATTAACATTATTTGATTAAGAATTTAATGAACTTTCATAATTTCTAAATAACTAAACTTAGAAATCAACAGTTATATATTCAATTTTTATGAGCAACTTTTAGCATTATGAATAGATCTTTATATATATATATATATGTTTTAAAGCAAAGTCATATATGACTACTTCCAAAACGTAGATACTATAGAAATTTATAGTGATTATTAATCTTGGAGAAGAATCACATTATACGTCGCATTCCATCAACTCTCACAATTATTGATCTGCCTTTTCATATTAACGCCTTTGCAGTTCTTTTGAAGCTTTGTTCTATTACATAAATTGAAGATTTATGTGAAAGTTGTGAAATTGAAAAATCTTAAATATTTTATATCCTGAAAGTAAAAAGAAAAGTCAGATTAAATCATCCTTGCATAAATTTTTGAATAGACAATAGTTAATCAGATTTAATTATTTCTTAAATAATATGTTTTAAATGTTCATTTTAAACATCTATTTAAAGCAAGTTTTTATAAAATAAAAGTTTTTTAATAATGTTGATATGAGATGATTAATACTGTCATGATGGAATTAAATTCCCATTTATGATATTCATTAATGAAAATGCATTATCTAAAGGTCACTTCATTACTTATGTATAAAATTTGTTTTAAAATAGATGATTGTCATCTGAAAATAGTTTCATAATAGAATTATTTTTAATAGTCTTGTGCTGCACAGTACAAATGATTATCATCAGATTTTAATTGAACTATAACATGGCTAATTAATTATAAATATACTATGTAATTTGGTCTAAAGGTAGGCAGTTAAGCTTCCATCTTGTAATAAATTTAACAATTAAAAGAAAATTAGAATGATTTAATACCTATTCAAGTGTACTTACACCTTGATTTTAAAAAATTCCTCAATTGTATAAAAATCACTTGTACTTGTATTTGTACTTTTTACTAATTATTATTATTATTATTATTATTATTTGTTTTTAATGCTGTATTTTTCGGCATATAAGACTCACTCTATTTCAGCACAGAATATTTAAGAAAAAATTATCTAGTGTATTTAAGCTATCCTGCTTCTTTGGCAGTCAACCCTAAAATTTTTTACTGCATTCTGGTTTAAAAAGAAATGTGTTTAATTAAACAGTAACACTTTTATTCAAGAGTTGGGGTAGGTAGGGGTTATCTATAGCCTATTGAAGATCGTTTGGGGAATTTATTAGTCTATGGATCACAACTTCATATTTAAAGATGTATTTGTAACTTTTTCTTTGAACATAAGTTGTCTTATAAGTTGTAAAATACTATGGTTGTTGTTGTTGTTTTACGTTTTGTTGGGTTTGCATTGAGTTAGTGTATTGAAAAATTTTATATCCTTTTGTATATGTATTATCCTTTGTGTACTGTTATTGGGCTGCAATTTGAAAACATTGCAGACTATAAATTCCCACTGTCTGTCTATCTTTCCTTAATCTCAAGAATGGAATTAGATAGTTAAAATCTGAGACCAGATATGGAAACCTTAGGGAAAGGAGGCCCCAATTGACTATATATGAACTTTCAGTTTGCACCAGAAGCCACATTATTTGAATTCAGAAGTTTCCCCCTGAAAGCAGTTAGTAGATGATCATCATGACTCTATTGTTAAAGGAAAAGTATGATGTACAGGGGCAAGATACTACTAATTTAATGTAGAGAGCCTATATTTTAAATGAAATAAATTAAAAATATGATTAAAAATTGCAGCCTGGCATTGTGACAATCTCACAATAAATAATCACTTGTCGATAACTTGTTTTTATTTTGTATTAGCTGTTACCCTCAGCTTCACCCATGCAGATTTTACAATTTGATAGAAATAACCCTCCCTCAAAAAATCATTCTAGTGACTCATCACATAAGCCACTATTTCTGCACATACTTCTTTGGCCATCACTTGAGTGTCATATAAAACAAAGGATATTGCTCTAAAGAGGCAAGCTCCATCGCGTATAATTGGAATGATGGTGTGGGGCGTTATAACACCATTTATATTCAGTGTTTCAACAACCATAGTAATTATTTAATTTATAACAATGTTATATAACACACCCCTTATTGTTGAGAATCATTTCACTGCTTCAAAGGAACGTTTTCAATCTGATCAATTTTCTGGAATGTTTACAATTGTTCTATAATCGAACCAATATGCAATAACAAATTCAAATTTAAAACAGTTCGAACATTTGGTTAAAAACTTGTAAAACGTAAATATTGTACGTTTGGAAATAAAGTTATTACCACCAGAAACAAAAAATCGTATCTAAAATATTACAGTAGAAGCCGTTCTTTGGGTTAAGCCTTAATTTTCTCCCTCTCCCCCTTGGGGGAATTTTGATATAAAAATTGCATGTATTCAAATGAAACGTTGTATCAAAATTTCAAGCAATCAGTGAAGAACTTTCGGAGATTTAAGATTTTGAACAACGAACATTTACATTTTTTTTTATATAGATTGTGTATTGGATACAGTCCCCAGAATATATAAAATACAATACTGAATTGTGATGTACAATGGTACCTCAGGATACGAATGCCCCAGCATACGAAATTTTCAGGATACGACATGAAATTCGAACATATTTTTGCTCCATGATATGAACAAAAACTCACCATACGACGTTACATTAGTTTGCAGCGCCAATTTTTATTCACTTCTGTTCATTGGTCTCAGTCCGCGTGTTTGCTTCATAGTGGAAGGATCTCGCTCGATAAAGGAAATCTTGAGGTATTATCAAAAAGTGACTGATTTTATTGAAAAGAAACACCCAGAAAAGGTTCACACTGGCCGTATTGCTGCTCAGTTTAATGACGTTTGCCTAAGTCATTTTAGAAACATTTTAAAAAGTAGGCAAAGTCAAATTTCTTTGGATAGATATTTTACCAAGTGACCTCTATCCAGTGAAAGTGCTGGTGGAAGTGATGGAAAGAAAGCGAAAAGCAGTGAATAAAAATTAAAAAATATATATATATATAACAATTTTTTTATCTTTCCTAAGTTATTTTTAAGTTAACTTACATAACATAATGTAACAATAAGTTTTAGTACCATTTCCCTTCTCCCTCTCCTCTGCCACCAGTTTACACCTCCACCATCATCTATCCTCAATGGTAAAGTGCAAATAAAACTACATTTTTTTAATCAATTTATTATTCTATTATTAAATTATTCTATTGTAGTTATTTATACATTTACAACTACAAAATGCATTTTTCAGTGTTTTGCTTACTATAGTTATTTTTTTCAATGTATTACTTAGCTTTAAGTTGAGTGTGTTTTTTGTGTTGGAATGAATTATTTGGTTTTACATGTAATCGTATGGGAAAAAATGATTCACCTTACAACATTTTCATGATACGATCTCAGTTTTGGGACGGATTAATTTCGTATCCTGAGGTACCACTGTATGTATCTATTAAAATAAATAAATTTAATTAATTTATTTATTACTTTCTCGGCTCTGCTATATATAACAGAGGAAAAGTATGGTGATCGATCAAAAAAATAACCCTTCCAAGATTTTTATATTTTTGGACTCGGACTTTGAAATGTCGAGAAATGCAAAAAAATTCAGGAGGATTAGGTCTTTGATTGCAACATAAAGACATTTCTAGTAATGCAGCATCACTCTACAACAGGTAAATTGCAGACAGAATGCTTTTGCATGCTCTTTTATAGGCCAAGGAGATGCACATTAATGCCCTCTGCTGGCATTATGCAATGAGCTATAACTCTAATCATTTCTATACCTGCTTGAGATTTATCTGCATGTCAAGTTTTGCAGTGATAAAACTTTTTGGTATGCTAATTTTTATAGCAATGAATTATATTTGTATATACTCTGATAGTTTTGCATAAATTAAAATATGTTTATATTGATTTGATATCTAATAAAACTAATATCAATTCATTAGATGATTTCTAAGTAGTGTGTATGAAGTAGTAAGATTATAATAAATTTATGATTTAAAACATTTTACAATGTATGTGTAATTGTCTGTGTAATTTTTCTGTTTAATAGTGAGCATTCAATTGCTTCTGCTAGAGCATCTGTAATGCTTTATGATGATGTCACTAAAAGATGGTTACCTAGTGGAACATCTAGTGGACTTTCTAAAGTTCATATATATCAACACTTAATTAACAATACATTTAGAGTTGTTGGTCGAAAACTCCAGGATCATGAGGTAAGTAATTCAATTTGAAGTGACTTGAATATATTTTTTAATTAACATTTGATTATTTTTATTTTTAATTACTTTGAAATATAATAGTGATGTTATAAATACAAATATTTTCCAAGAAAAGAAATTAAGAATAATTATAAGTTTATATTAAACTTTTCAACAAATTACATTATATATTTTGAAATTAAAGTTTTATCATTATCTGGCTTTTATCTACTTGGCATTTTTTTCCTTTCTTAAAAATAATTTATTTTTACATTACTACTTTTTATTCTTGTTGTTTAAATATTGTAAAATGTATCAGCATTTTCTCTTCTTGCTGTTATTAATCAAATAATAAAACTGACAAATCTGTATATTGCTTTATATTAATTAGATACTGGAATTATATTATTCAAACAATTGCAAAAACTAAAAAAATATATTACAATTGTATTGCATTTAGAAAATAAAAGTGGTTGATAACTAAATTTTTTCATCAAAGTTTATACTTGAACGAATTATTTTTAAATGTTCTAGAATTGTAAAATATTGATAATTAAATCTGTTAATAAAAAATTAATGCTGTACAGATAACCTGTGGCAAAGTATAATTTAAAAGGTAAAAAATCACTGAATCTGAAATAAAATCTTCACATAAATTGCACCAGTTTGTATACCTACCTCCAAAGTGTCTTTGAAAATATAATTTTTACCAGTTTGTATTTTAAAGGGTACTATCTCAAACATATTGTCTTTTTCCCTCTCAATTCCATTATCAGTTCATTGAAGATTTAATTGTAAAAGAAAATAATACTGTATTTTTGCTCAAATGTAAGATGCAGTTTTTCAGATTTTAGTTAATATATCTGAAAATACAGTAATTTATCTTAGATTCAATGTAATACATCATAATTAGTGATCTCTGTGTTGTGTGTCTTATTTCTCAGTCACTATAAGTTACTAGTTCCTTTGCATCATTTTTAATAATTTTATTAGACCAATATTTATAATAGTATTTAAGAGGTCAGCTTAGCTCACTGTCATTAGTCTATTACAGCAATGTACTCTTGGATGAAAATCCTAAAAAAAACTTGTACAGCTATCTTTCAACAAGTGTATTTTTTATGCTTTAAATAGCAGTGGGCATGACTGCATGTGGGAAGATGTGAACATTAAATCCAGTGTTGATTAGCATAGTTTTAGTCAATTAAAATAAAAACTTGGTTTTTATTTTAATTGTAGTATTAAAACTACACTTGGTTTTAGTCATCCAAGTGTAGTTTTAATACTAATACCAAAATTAAAACAACTAAATGTATACAAGAACTAAAAATAAACTCAGAAACTTGACTAAAAAAACACATCAGTATTGATTCAGAAGAGTCTAACATAAAAAGTGAATACACTTTTGACTTTGACACCATGGAAGACAGTGATGTATAACTTACTTTATTTGCAATAAATGCTGAACAAATTTATGTCAGTGGAACTGATTTTGCTAATGAATTTATCTTGAGTTGTTTAGTTTTCACAAAACAAAAATCTTAAATGAGCACGTAGAAATTAAGGTGCATTTGTTTCAATTGCATCTTAAATTTGAATAAATACTGTAAATAAAAAACATTTTTACATTGATAATATAATAATCAACAATATTGGTTTCAGAGCCAATCATTCAGCTTTTTATTCACTTTAAAGTAAGTTTAGTCTTGTTGCTTGTTGAAGAAAAGTAATATGGAAATGGAAAACAGAAACATTTTCCATTTCTTTAGCACAGAAAGAGTTTAGAAAATCAAGTTTAAAATATGTTTAATTTTTCTGTTGTTATAGATAGAAAAAGTTGATAGCCAGTTATGTGGTGGCAATAGATCAGTATGGCAGATACTTACGTTATAAGATCACTTTAAGTTTGTATAAATCATACTTCCCAGGTAATTTATTATATAGGACAGTTACATAAAAAAATTTTTATGTAACTGTTATTACATAATTNTACATCACCAAGACCACCACCACCTCCACCACCACCACCAATGCCATGTCAGCAACCAATATACCAACCTGATGATTATAATAACGAACCAAGAGGATGGTAAAAAAAGTTTACAATTAAATAATTTATTACCTTTAATGTAAAGTCATCAAAATTTGCAGTAAAATTTAAATGTACAGTGGGTGATTGGTTAACAAACAGTTCGGACTACAAACAAATTGGATAATGAACAATTTCCTGAAAGATTTTTTTGTTTGGATAACGAACACCTCACAGAACAAACACAAGAAGAAGCGACGTAATATAATGAATACCAATTGGTCTTCCCTTGTTTTCAGGCAACAATTTGAAACTTTTCAGAGTGCAGGAGACGTTGGCATCGATGCTCAACCTGGTATATACTGATCAGATAGTATTCCTCTGAACTTTGAAACTCTCCCTTGTAACTTCTCCAGCCTTTTATTTTTCTACAGAAACAATTTTTTATAGTATTCACGAGACTGTCAGATAGGCACTCATTAAGTTTTGCATTGGTTTTATTTTCAAAAGGTGAGAGTATAATAGCAAAGGTAGAGAGTGGGCAGATGTATGTTGCTGGGTAGTATGGCTTGAACAGGTCTACAGTAGATCGCAGTTCAATCTTATCTAAGAAAGATACAGTATAATCAAGAAGACTCAAGCAACTAAAGGAGCAACAAAAATCACACCTGAGAAATAATAAAGAACATTGAAGAGCTCATAATAGAACCTGAAATGGATCTGATGACAGAAGAACATCAAGAAACTCAGCAAGATATGTTTTCTTCTGAAAAAGAGGAAGTCAAAAGAGGACCAATGCTGACACCAGCTATTTACCACTTCAGTCATTCAGCCAAGATGATGAGTTGAACCAGATGATAAGACTCTCATTCCAACAAGAACATGAAAAGAGATGCAAAAGATAATGTAACTGAATCAGATGATTTGAGTTAACTATGAAAACTTTAATTATTTCAGATGTAGATAATTAAGATATTTCTTTCAATTTTTACCTCCTCCTCTCCTGTTGCAGGATAATAAACCTTGGCTTCAAAAACACAGGGAATATGTATGTTTTAAAAATAAATGCCTCCAAGGTTTAATCAAGAAAATATGCTAGTTACAATTTATTATCCTACATTTGAAATGGCAAGTGGCAAGAATCTAATATACTGTACTGCAAACAAATAACATTTAAAACACTGATTGAACTGATACAATTGCATGCGTTATTAGTTATGCTATCACAGTCTCAACTTATGGTTAATATAAGATATATGTAGGCTTATAAGATAAAAATATAAGGTATATATTTTTAAACTTATATGTTTGGGAAATATAATTTTTATAACATTACATTGCTAGTGATAATNGCCACCTCTTCATTCGGAGGGTAAATCTTACCATTCGGACTTTAACAGAGCTGTAGAGCATATTGATAGGAACAAAAAAGTCAAAGGAACCGTGCCTCATAGAAATTTGTAAAGAACGCCCACTAGGGGGCATTCCAAGCTACTAGTATTGTATATTCTGTGTTGTATAACCATATAAATGTACTTAAGCATACATACCAAAAAGAAAAAAAAAAACCACAGAAACAATTTTCCATATTGATATTTAACAATGACCGATAATTGATGACCAATTTATTTCATTGCTTGAAATAAATTGCTTGAAATTTATTTCATTGCATTCTTTTCATTACGTGAAAAGAATGCAATGAATGTCTGGTGAGATGGGAATGTTTAATATGTTTCAACAGTGACATAAATGTTTGGCCAAATATGTCATTGTCATACTACTTTGGCCATTCATGTAAGTGAACAGACATTTACATCATTTTACCTTTTGCACTAGTAACCGTAACATATACACTACAAATATTATTCGTTGCTACAACATTAGATTGTAAATATTTCTTTAATCAATGTTCAACTTTGCAGAAATTAGCAAAATATAAACTGTTGGCTTTTATGTAATTAGCAACACTTAAGAAGCAATGCAAATTTTCACTAATAAATGCAAAGTTAAAGTTGTGCTGTGGTTTGAAAGTTTTAGTACTTTGAAAAACTGGCATTATATTATGACACATTTATTCTTACACATTAGTATAAATGATTTAGTGACATACAGTACATGATGCAATTACAAATGACAGCTGACAGTGAATAAATAATGCCCAGCTCATTTCATGAACCTTGATTGGACTATAAAAAATGCTCAGTAACAAAAACCAGTCTATTTACTTAGTGAAGGGAACAGATTGTTTGATGAATCTGTGACAAGGTTCAAAAAGGGACTTTGAACTTTATATAAAACTTTCAATAATATCAAGCATTAGAGGATTGAAGATAGGTTTTATTCAATTACGGCAATGCAACACATGGGCAGTCTGCTGGGAGAATGCCTCCCAAGGTCTTTTATTAAAACTGGCTCCTATTTAAGTGTGTTAATAACAGGACTGTGGAGTTGCAGTTGGAAAAAATGTCGACTTCGACTCCAACTCCTTCATTTTCAATTTACTTTAGTTTTTTTTATTTAAATGAAAGAAAATTTATTATATATTTATTAATTTTTAAAAATCTTTTTGTATTTTGTTATAATTCATTTTATTTTAAATACAAAATGCATCAATTTAATTTATTAAATATGTAGTATTCTTTGTAGTATTTGTGTTTAGTAGTTAAATTATTTTGATCTAATTGAATTTTAATATTTTTTTTGAATCATTCCTTTATTATCCCTGCTCTAAATAAGTACTCTATTTTTCTGAATTAGCTAGACTAATTGATCAGAGTACATATTTTTCTTTTCTGGATAAGGGGCTGAAGTAACTAGCTAGACCACACACTTTTTAGTTGGACTAACTCTTCTGGAAGAGTGAAATTGAAGTGAAAAACCTCCCCATATCAAAATTAAATACCAAGTCATTTGACTTGGTATTTAATTTTGCTAGAGTCAGAGTCGAGTGTTTTTTTTTTTTTAACTGACTCCACAGCTCTCATTATTAACATGAAGAAAACTCAGAAAACTCCATGCGACCAGCCTGTTGGCGAGATGTGAACACGACCAAATACGTTCAGTAGTTTTATCCATTTGGCCACTAGTGGCAGAAGATTGAAGACACATGTTAAACCAGTAATGTGCAAACTCAATTTAGTAAAAGTGCAAGATTAAATGATTGATACTTAGAACAAAAGTAGAAAAATTCATATACAGTAATACCTCGATTTACGTGAACCTAGAGTTACGCGATTTTCAAATCTCGTCGAATCATCATTTGTTTGAGCGCCAAGCAACTCTCGATTACTCAATCCCCCCCACACTATTGTTCGGTTTACATGTTCAGACATGTCGCGCGGAATTGACACATAGCCACAATTTTTGTGTTATTTATTTTTGTGTTTGTTATATCTACGGAGACTTGAGAGACTCTATGTGGTGATTTCTTCTAACCGTGAACAAATCAAAAGACGAGATAAGATTAATGAGAACATTTATTAGCTTACACACATCTGACTTGGGTTTTACACAAATTGCGAAATTATACCTCATCTTACGTGAATTCGACTTACGCGGTTATCGCTCAGTCCCACCTATCGCGTAAGTTCGGGGTATCACTGTATCAACAATAATAGTTTTTCTTTTGTCACTAAAGGAAGTCTAGAAAGTTCCTAAATCTCCATTNTTTTCAATCTGATCAATTTTCTGGAATGTTTACAATTGTTCTATAATCGAACCAATATGCAATAACAAATTCAAATTTAAAACAGTTCGAACATTTGGTTAAAAACTTGTAAAACGTAAATATTGTACGTTTGGAAATAAAGTTATTACCACCAGAAACAAAAAATCGTATCTAAAATATTACAGTAGAAGCCGTTCTTTGGGTTAAGCCTTAATTTTCTCCCTCTCCCCCTTGGGGGAATTTTGATATAAAAATTGCATGTATTCAAATGAAACGTTGTATCAAAATTTCAAGCAATCAGTGAAGAACTTTCGGAGATTTAAGATTTTGAACAACGAACATTTACATTTTTTTTTATATAGATTGTGTATTGGATACAGTCCCCAGAATATATAAAATACAATACTGAATTGTGATGTACAATGGTACCTCAGGATACGAATGCCCCAGCATACGAAATTTTCAGGATACGACATGAAATTCGAACATATTTTTGCTCCATGATATGAACAAAAACTCACCATACGACGTTACATTAGTTTGCAGCGCCAATTTTTATTCACTTCTGTTCATTGGTCTCAGTCCGCGTGTTTGCTTCATAGTGGAAGGATCTCGCTCGATAAAGGAAATCTTGAGGTATTATCAAAAAGTGACTGATTTTATTGAAAAGAAACACCCAGAAAAGGTTCACACTGGCCGTATTGCTGCTCAGTTTAATGACGTTTGCCTAAGTCATTTTAGAAACATTTTAAAAAGTAGGCAAAGTCAAATTTCTTTGGATAGATATTTTACCAAGTGACCTCTATCCAGTGAAAGTGCTGGTGGAAGTGATGGAAAGAAAGCGAAAAGCAGTGAATAAAAATTAAAAAATATATATATATATAACAATTTTTTTATCTTTCCTAAGTTATTTTTAAGTTAACTTACATAACATAATGTAACAATAAGTTTTAGTACCATTTCCCTTCTCCCTCTCCTCTGCCACCAGTTTACACCTCCACCATCATCTATCCTCAATGGTAAAGTGCAAATAAAACTACATTTTTTTAATCAATTTATTATTCTATTATTAAATTATTCTATTGTAGTTATTTATACATTTACAACTACAAAATGCATTTTTCAGTGTTTTGCTTACTATAGTTATTTTTTTCAATGTATTACTTAGCTTTAAGTTGAGTGTGTTTTTTGTGTTGGAATGAATTATTTGGTTTTACATGTAATCGTATGGGAAAAAATGATTCACCTTACAACATTTTCATGATACGATCTCAGTTTTGGGACGGATTAATTTCGTATCCTGAGGTACCACTGTATGTATCTATTAAAATAAATAAATTTAATTAATTTATTTATTACTTTCTCGGCTCTGCTATATATAACAGAGGAAAAGTATGGTGATCGATCAAAAAAATAACCCTTCCAAGATTTTTATATTTTTGGACTCGGACTTTGAAATGTCGAGAAATGCAAAAAAATTCAGGAGGATTAGGTCTTTGATTGCAACATAAAGACATTTCTAGTAATGCAGCATCACTCTACAACAGGTAAATTGCAGACAGAATGCTTTTGCATGCTCTTTTATAGGCCAAGGAGATGCACATTAATGCCCTCTGCTGGCATTATGCAATGAGCTATAACTCTAATCATTTCTATACCTGCTTGAGATTTATCTGCATGTCAAGTTTTGCAGTGATAAAACTTTTTGGTATGCTAATTTTTATAGCAATGAATTATATTTGTATATACTCTGATAGTTTTGCATAAATTAAAATATGTTTATATTGATTTGATATCTAATAAAACTAATATCAATTCATTAGATGATTTCTAAGTAGTGTGTATGAAGTAGTAAGATTATAATAAATTTATGATTTAAAACATTTTACAATGTATGTGTAATTGTCTGTGTAATTTTTCTGTTTAATAGTGAGCATTCAATTGCTTCTGCTAGAGCATCTGTAATGCTTTATGATGATGTCACTAAAAGATGGTTACCTAGTGGAACATCTAGTGGACTTTCTAAAGTTCATATATATCAACACTTAATTAACAATACATTTAGAGTTGTTGGTCGAAAACTCCAGGATCATGAGGTAAGTAATTCAATTTGAAGTGACTTGAATATATTTTTTAATTAACATTTGATTATTTTTATTTTTAATTACTTTGAAATATAATAGTGATGTTATAAATACAAATATTTTCCAAGAAAAGAAATTAAGAATAATTATAAGTTTATATTAAACTTTTCAACAAATTACATTATATATTTTGAAATTAAAGTTTTATCATTATCTGGCTTTTATCTACTTGGCATTTTTTTCCTTTCTTAAAAATAATTTATTTTTACATTACTACTTTTTATTCTTGTTGTTTAAATATTGTAAAATGTATCAGCATTTTCTCTTCTTGCTGTTATTAATCAAATAATAAAACTGACAAATCTGTATATTGCTTTATATTAATTAGATACTGGAATTATATTATTCAAACAATTGCAAAAACTAAAAAAATATATTACAATTGTATTGCATTTAGAAAATAAAAGTGGTTGATAACTAAATTTTTTCATCAAAGTTTATACTTGAACGAATTATTTTTAAATGTTCTAGAATTGTAAAATATTGATAATTAAATCTGTTAATAAAAAATTAATGCTGTACAGATAACCTGTGGCAAAGTATAATTTAAAAGGTAAAAAATCACTGAATCTGAAATAAAATCTTCACATAAATTGCACCAGTTTGTATACCTACCTCCAAAGTGTCTTTGAAAATATAATTTTTACCAGTTTGTATTTTAAAGGGTACTATCTCAAACATATTGTCTTTTTCCCTCTCAATTCCATTATCAGTTCATTGAAGATTTAATTGTAAAAGAAAATAATACTGTATTTTTGCTCAAATGTAAGATGCAGTTTTTCAGATTTTAGTTAATATATCTGAAAATACAGTAATTTATCTTAGATTCAATGTAATACATCATAATTAGTGATCTCTGTGTTGTGTGTCTTATTTCTCAGTCACTATAAGTTACTAGTTCCTTTGCATCATTTTTAATAATTTTATTAGACCAATATTTATAATAGTATTTAAGAGGTCAGCTTAGCTCACTGTCATTAGTCTATTACAGCAATGTACTCTTGGATGAAAATCCTAAAAAAAACTTGTACAGCTATCTTTCAACAAGTGTATTTTTTATGCTTTAAATAGCAGTGGGCATGACTGCATGTGGGAAGATGTGAACATTAAATCCAGTGTTGATTAGCATAGTTTTAGTCAATTAAAATAAAAACTTGGTTTTTATTTTAATTGTAGTATTAAAACTACACTTGGTTTTAGTCATCCAAGTGTAGTTTTAATACTAATACCAAAATTAAAACAACTAAATGTATACAAGAACTAAAAATAAACTCAGAAACTTGACTAAAAAAACACATCAGTATTGATTCAGAAGAGTCTAACATAAAAAGTGAATACACTTTTGACTTTGACACCATGGAAGACAGTGATGTATAACTTACTTTATTTGCAATAAATGCTGAACAAATTTATGTCAGTGGAACTGATTTTGCTAATGAATTTATCTTGAGTTGTTTAGTTTTCACAAAACAAAAATCTTAAATGAGCACGTAGAAATTAAGGTGCATTTGTTTCAATTGCATCTTAAATTTGAATAAATACTGTAAATAAAAAACATTTTTACATTGATAATATAATAATCAACAATATTGGTTTCAGAGCCAATCATTCAGCTTTTTATTCACTTTAAAGTAAGTTTAGTCTTGTTGCTTGTTGAAGAAAAGTAATATGGAAATGGAAAACAGAAACATTTTCCATTTCTTTAGCACAGAAAGAGTTTAGAAAATCAAGTTTAAAATATGTTTAATTTTTCTGTTGTTATAGATAGAAAAAGTTGATAGCCAGTTATGTGGTGGCAATAGATCAGTATGGCAGATACTTACGTTATAAGATCACTTTAAGTTTGTATAAATCATACTTCCCAGGTAATTTATTATATAGGACAGTTACATAAAAAAATTTTTATGTAACTGTTATTACATAATTTACAATTTGAAACATTAATTACTTCTTACTTACTGAATTTCCTTGAGTCTAAGACATATTTTTGTATTTATTTTAACTGGTCTAAAATAGAGATGATGTAGAATCAATGATATCTTACACTTGTATTCCAAAACACAGTCAGAAGTCATCACATACAACCCAAGAAAAATGTCTTGCAACTTTGGTTAAATTCATAAAATTATTTTATAATAATTTAATATTTTATGTAGAAAATAATCATTGTGCATTTTAACTTGCATTAGCATAAGAAATTTTCACATTGGACTTGTCAAAATTTAAATTTATTTAAATATAGCTATGATTTCTGATTGAAAACCAATTGGAAAAGATGTGAGAGTTGATTATTAAAAGGCATAAGGTATTTCCAACTCAAAAGTAAGCAAATTAATTGAATGTCACAAATCTAGAATCATTAAAAAATACAAAGAAATGGAAAGCAAGATGTGCAAACCAAGATCAGTAAGTTCATGTTGTACTAGAAAGATAAAAGATAAATTTCTCAGAAGTCTTTCAAGAAATTTTAGGAAAAATTCTGCTAAAATGTTAACTAGCAACTGGAGTAAAATAACTAAAAAAAAGTTATATTTGAAAAAAAAAAGGCTGAGACTAAAAGAAATGGATACTATGATACGCTTCTTGTCTAGTCTTCTGAATGGCTTGTGAGTGCTCAGATTGCTTCCTTGGACATATGCAGCATGTATCCGTCCATAAAACGTAACAGGATATTAGCAACATAAAAAAACCCAAAACTGTCAGCAATGGATCATAGATATGGTAACCCTTGTATTGGAAAATAATTATTTTGTTAGTCAAAAAAAGATTCTTTAGACAATGCGATGGTATCCCCATGGGCTCAATAATGGGACCAATCCTTGCTGAATTAAGTATGTACAATATTGATCATGACGTTGTCAATATCAAAGTATAATAGAACTGTACTGTTACGTCGATGACTGTTTTCTCGTATATGATGACAACATCATACAGGCGGACCAAATCTTGGAACATGTAAATAAAATAGATACTGACATTAAATTTGACTTAGAACCTGAAAGCAACTGTCAGTTACCCTTCTTAGACATTCTCGTCACAAGACACAGACAAAACAACCTTTAAAAAATATAAAAAACCCTGTACTATTGACAGTGTCATACACTTTACATCTGAAGTACCAACTTATATAAAAAAGAATACTTTCTACATGTACTTGGATAAAATTATGCAATGTACCACATATGATACCGATATATCCAATGAGATTGAAGACATCATAAAAACGTACTTAATGAACGATTATAGCAAGCGCATGATCAGTAACTGGCTTAATAATAAATATGTTAATGCACACAATCAACCAATTGACAACATTGTTTATAAATTTTTTAAAATCCCTTACGTTATGAATATTTTTGAAAGAATTAAAAGTAAATTAATTAAGTATAATATTATTTTTGTACCCGAACATCGTAACAGCTTACATAAGAAAATAAACGTACCTAACAGAAAAGCTAACATATGGGACCAAAAAAATGTTGTTTACAAATTTGAATGCGACTGTACCACACCCAAATCTTACATTGGTGAAACTAGTAGGGAATTAAAGATCCGTTTCAATGAACATATCTCTGCCATAGCACACAACAATGATAGCTCGGCTGTAGCCACCCACTGTAATAATGAAGACTGTCAGATTGTTAAGGATACTGTCAAAATACTTATAAAAGAAGATGGTACGAACACTTAGAAATAATAAAAAACAAAGAGAAAATCATGAATAACAACTCCAGTCAAAAATTACACGAATCGTGGTACACCTATTTGACCAGAGGAGGTGTGAAGGGAAGGGAGAGGTGTGAAAATGGATAGGGGTGAGGGTTACCCTGGAATGTACTTCAAATTGTCTTGTTACTCTGTTCGTGTTACTGTGAATCTACTTATCATTTTGTTTTAACCATGTATATTTTTACGACTTTCAGACATAAAAACTGACACACAAACTGGAAATATATACCAAAATAACCACTTCACACCTAAGTGATAATTCCAGCAAACTAACAATAAACAACATTACTGTTTTACCAGAACCTCAGTTTATTATTATTATGTTATTGTATCAACATTACCGTTTTTAATGGAAAATCTCGTTTTATCGCGTGCTTAGTCTTTTAATTAATGTTCAACGCATCGAATCCACATGTCAAATGTAAGTCCACATTCTTTGTTCATTTCTGTCAATCATGGTCTTTTTATAAAAATTGTTAACCTCCTATTAATTTTGTAGCAAAAAGCTGATAAGGGACTCCATGTCCAAAATGCATTCTGAAAATAAAATAGTGTTTTTCTAAATCTAATTTGATGTCCTGTGGTGGTGTAATAAGTCTAGCGGTAAAGTAAAGCCAATCTTAGCGCTCACAAGCCATTTAAAAGAAATGGGCTCTGGATTTAAGCAAGTAAAAAAGAGACTGCTGCTTACAAGTGCAATGAAACAAAAGGGAATTAGATGGTATAAAAAATATAAAGACTGGGACATTACTAAGTGCAAAAAGCAATATTTTGTGACAAATTAAGATTCTGTCCATTTTAGGAGGAAAATGAAAAGGTGTTGTGAAAAGATGAGGAATATCATCCTAATTGCATTTCAAAGACTATAAAATTTGCACCAGGTATTATGGTGTATGGAATTTTAACTGCTTATCAATTTGGGAGCTTACAAATTGTAAAGTCAAAATATTGATTCATCAGTTTATATTAATATACCAAATGAAATTCTTATACTTACTGCTAAATACAGTAGAGCATCGTTTATCCGAATTAATTGGGGACTGGGGTTGTTCGGATAACTTATTTTTCAGATAACTGATTGTGTACGAAAAAATATATTAACCTATCCCATGTTGAAATTTTTCTCCGTTGCGTATCACTTTGCATTGAATTTTTATCGATGTTAAGCCTATTGTAAACTTTTTAAAATAATAATCATGGCTATTGTATCGTTAAAAATTATTTTTTTATTTTTACAAACAAAATAAATATATGGAAAAATATAAAAACAAAAAAAATTATACTTTAGAAATTAATCTAGTATCAAAAATGTTCGATTCAGCACGACACACAATCCTCAGAAAAACACCACACAAAAATGCCAGTGCTGCCAGCTAAAATACACACACATCAACAAAAAAATATTGGAGTAGCCTAAGATATAGCCAAAGATTGCAGCGCCACAGCACTAGCGAAAATTAAAATTTGCCGACTGGAATTCTTTCAGATAACTGATATTTCGGATAACCGACTTTCAGATAAACGACGCTCTACTGTACTACTTTACTGATGATGAGTACATTTATCAACAGGATGGTGTACCTGCCCATAAAGCCAAGAAATCTAAATCATATTTTAAAAACATGGAAATAGAAGTATTAGATTGGCCTGGCAATTCACCATATCTTAATTCTATGGAAAAATATTGGATAAGGTGAAGAAACAACTGAAACTAAAATATTTTAACTTTGAAAGATTTAGAGGAAAACATACATCTAGTATGAAAAGAAATTACTGTCCTAGAATGTGAGAAGTTAATTTATTTCATTCCACAAAGAATTAAAGCAGTTTTAAAGGCCAAAAGTGGAGCCATACAAGACTGAAATTAAAGTTGCAGGACTTTTATCTGTTTTTCTGTATTGCAGGATTTTTGTCCATGATATATTTTTTACTGTTTTGTATTTCACTGTGAAAATAATTTCATAATAAAATTTGTGGTCTTTTGAAAGAAAAAGAATCTCCCTTCCTATTTTATTAATAATTTTAATGTAAATTTCATTTTTAAATATAGCAACAAAGTTACTGAGGCTTAAAAAAATAGCTTGTTGCGTGACTTTTGTCGCTAGATTGTAAAATTCATTATTCATCATTAATAGACACGTTTGGTTGTGTAACTAAGGAATGGAATGATTTTCTATATTTAAAAAAAAAACCTGTTCAAAATGGAAACAAGTCTATCAAACTGGAAGAAATATTTGGTACTGTATGAGTCCAATTTATATCAGTTTCACTATACAAGAGAGCATGGAAATGGAACTTTAATTTGTTACTTACAAAACTTAACAAAATTGATGTTTAAAAATTTTTTCTTCCGTAATAAAAAAAACTTAAAATATAATTTCAAACTCATAGTGCATTTTGAAATCATTGGCATCTTAGAATCAATAAAATACAGTATGTTTTCTTTACAAGAAACTATATTTGAATATTAATTTACTTTGATGAAATAATCTAACTGCTGATTTTGAATATTTCTATACATTTTAAAATCTTATAAGTTTTTCAATATTTACTTAGTTTAACTAAAAAAAAAATAAATAGCAAAATATTTATTCTGTTGTAATTCAGTTTTTTTTTATGTTTAATGCTTTTTTTAATTTTACAGGAAACTTATTTAAGTAATGTTTTTTGTTTTTGAAAGGATAGTTTGACATTCAAAAATCTGACCATCCAGTTCCTTTAGATTTTCAGCATGGATTTTGGAGCACATTTTCAAATTTACTGCATTGGTGCGCCACTGTTTTCTGGAGGCACCTAACCAAAATTCTGTAGAATTGTTTTATTTAGTTGATGAACATTAAAATTTCATTTGCTTTTCATTCAGTGTTTAATTTTCTTTCTTTAAAGGATTATACAGGTAGTCATTTACTGTTAAATAATACAGCATATATAACCATAAAAAATCCAGCATTTTCAAAAATCTGGCACTCCTTAAGATGATGTTGGATTTTTGAATGTCAACCTGTAGTCTTTATCTTAACGCTTATAGAATAATTTAAATGTATAAAATTTAAATTAAACAAATGCATAAAACTGTAATTTTTTTTTTTTTTTTTTTTTTTGGAATCAAACNACGTCACTAGAAATTCGATTAACATCAAGTTTTGAAAAATAAATTTTTTTTTTTTTTTTTTTTCTTGAATCAAACACAATTTAAGTAAGCATTAGTTAAATAAATTTCTTAAAAGGTTCTAAAGGATACTTGAAATATTGAAAAATATTTTAAGGATACGAATGAATGATAAACTTAATTTTACTTATTAAGTAAAATTAAGTTTATCATTCAAAAATTAAATACTTTTATTTTTATATTTATTAGCACATAAAAATATTTTAATTAATTTAAGATCTATTAACAGGTAGTTATAAATTGTGCCATATTAAAAGGATTAAAGTATAACCAAGCTACTCCAACTTTTCATCAATGGCGAGATAACAGACATGTTTATGGCTTAAATTTCAGTAGTCGTGAAGATGCAGAAGCATTTGCTTTAGCTATGTTCAGAACTCTGGAAATTTTAAATCAAAATAGTAAATATCTTTAACATTTTTAATATTATTAATATAATAAATATTTAAGTCTAAAAATTATCATATTTATTAATAATTTTTATTCTTAGTTTTTACATTTTATTCAATATTACATTCATATCATAAAGCTTTATATAGTAATTTATAATTTTATTATATACATATTAGTGAATAATAAAAAATCTAATCATTACTAAAAGTTTAATATAATTAATAATAATTTTAATTTTAGGTTCTACATCACCAAGACCACCACCACCTCCACCACCACCACCAATGCCATGTCAGCAACCAATATACCAACCTGATGATTATAATAACGAACCAAGAGGATGGTAAAAAAAGTTTACAATTAAATAATTTATTACCTTTAATGTAAAGTCATCAAAATTTGCAGTAAAATTTAAATGTACAGTGGGTGATTGGTTAACAAACAGTTCGGACTACAAACAAATTGGATAATGAACAATTTCCTGAAAGATTTTTTTGTTTGGATAACGAACACCTCACAGAACAAACACAAGAAGAAGCGACGTAATATAATGAATACCAATTGGTCTTCCCTTGTTTTCAGGCAACAATTTGAAACTTTTCAGAGTGCAGGAGACGTTGGCATCGATGCTCAACCTGGTATATACTGATCAGATAGTATTCCTCTGAACTTTGAAACTCTCCCTTGTAACTTCTCCAGCCTTTTATTTTTCTACAGAAACAATTTTTTATAGTATTCACGAGACTGTCAGATAGGCACTCATTAAGTTTTGCATTGGTTTTATTTTCAAAAGGTGAGAGTATAATAGCAAAGGTAGAGAGTGGGCAGATGTATGTTGCTGGGTAGTATGGCTTGAACAGGTCTACAGTAGATCGCAGTTCAATCTTATCTAAGAAAGATACAGTATAATCAAGAAGACTCAAGCAACTAAAGGAGCAACAAAAATCACACCTGAGAAATAATAAAGAACATTGAAGAGCTCATAATAGAACCTGAAATGGATCTGATGACAGAAGAACATCAAGAAACTCAGCAAGATATGTTTTCTTCTGAAAAAGAGGAAGTCAAAAGAGGACCAATGCTGACACCAGCTATTTACCACTTCAGTCATTCAGCCAAGATGATGAGTTGAACCAGATGATAAGACTCTCATTCCAACAAGAACATGAAAAGAGATGCAAAAGATAATGTAACTGAATCAGATGATTTGAGTTAACTATGAAAACTTTAATTATTTCAGATGTAGATAATTAAGATATTTCTTTCAATTTTTACCTCCTCCTCTCCTGTTGCAGGATAATAAACCTTGGCTTCAAAAACACAGGGAATATGTATGTTTTAAAAATAAATGCCTCCAAGGTTTAATCAAGAAAATATGCTAGTTACAATTTATTATCCTACATTTGAAATGGCAAGTGGCAAGAATCTAATATACTGTACTGCAAACAAATAACATTTAAAACACTGATTGAACTGATACAATTGCATGCGTTATTAGTTATGCTATCACAGTCTCAACTTATGGTTAATATAAGATATATGTAGGCTTATAAGATAAAAATATAAGGTATATATTTTTAAACTTATATGTTTGGGAAATATAATTTTTATAACATTACATTGCTAGTGATAATATCAGTGATTACAATAACTGGATTCTACTGTATTTTTCAAAATAAAATTATTAAATAAATACATAAAATTCAATCATTGTAGTATTAAATAGTTATAATTAGTAAATATTTAAATTTATAATATTAAATATTTAGATTCTTGGAAGTTAGTAAATAATTTTATATTCTAAATAAAAGTATTTATTTAAGCCTTTTTTTACTTTAGGCCCTCAAATGATTGTTCTGTTAGAATGGCTCCACAGCAATCAGCACAGCATATGAATAATAATAGTAAGTTTGTTTTTTTTTTTTTAATTATTAAATGTAAGAATTTCATATGAATTTAAAAAAATCATATCTGAGGAAAACAATGATTCCCTACTACATACATGGTGTCCCCACTTAAAATCAGCCCAACTGAGATGGAACATTAGTGAGGTAAATTTTTAGGGAATATTTAGAAGGAAAGTGTAAAAGACAATCCAGAACTATATGCTGAAAAATGTGTGTGTTTATATACATACATACATCTACAGTCATATCAGTTATAATGTGCACAAAGGAATTCATTGCATTTGCACATTACTACTGTTACTATATTCAATTCTAATGATCAACCCTATTTCACTAACAATGGATGATATATGTAATTTCTAAAAATTTTAGTATATAGGATGTATTCTCCATTGCATTTAAGTAGACACACTAATTCTTTCACAGTGTTAATACAGTTGAAGACAGGCCAAATTTTCTGCATATTTCCACATTTTTCAATTTATTATAGTAAACTTACAATAACTTGGAATATTTAGGTGAATAGATGTCTTAACTGAAAACAAAATGAAGATTTACTTGCAATAACCATGAACTAGTAAAAATCATAAGTACGGTTATTGTGAGTAAATCTATGTTTTATTTTCAGTTTTAACATATTTTGATCAAAATACCCAAGCTTGTTGTAAGTTTGCTTCATAGATATAAGAAACAAATTTTTATTGTATAATAAAAATAAGAAATAAAAATACTTAATGGAACAATTGATTTAAGTGTTACTATTGTTTGTATACAGTAACACTTAAATCAAGTGTTCTAAAGTATTGCATACCACTTGAGTTTATATGAATGAGCAGAATAATGTTAATAATGGAGGTGTAGCTTATGATGGTGGTAGAGCAGTGTATTAGCAATAAGTAATGATAGATATGGAGGAAAAATAACTGAAAATAAAAATGAGCCTGTTACTTATGCCAGAAAATAACATAATACTGTACAATATTGATAATGCAATGTTGATCTAACATTTTGTAACTTTACATTACTTAAGTTATTGTACCCATTAACACTAAATTTAGCAAAAACCATTCATTTTGTAGTGGAGTTACAATACTTTAAAACACCAGTATATGTATATAAAGAGTGTCCACTTAAATATCTATCCAGGAGCAAAAGAGATCTTTCAGTATAGTTTAGGTCAGATTTTGGACTGCAACAGACACAAATATATCAGATATTACATTGTCATGACTTTCATCCATTCCTCAACTATCTGCAATTACAACAACATGCAGAGGATGCCATACAATGATTTGAGGAGTCAACTTGATGTTGAATGTACAGCATGATGAACCACAACTCCTTCAGCACATTTTATTGACTGATAAGGCAATTTTGGGGAATGGTCCATAAATCCATGTCACAATGTGCATCACTGAGAAGAACATGTTCCATGATACACATGACATAAGCAACACCAAGTGCATTTTACCCTAAATGTGTGGTATAAGATTTGGAATGAGCAGCTTCTCAGGCCTATATTCATTGATGGATGCCATTGCACTCTGAATAGTAGTGACTGGTATCTGAACATCCTAAACAAAGCAATGGATGATTGGTACTACTGCAGATTTGGTACCAGTACAATAGTGTGTCACCTTATTCCCAGACAGACATGCATCAGTGGATTTGAAGGGTGACTTAATAATTGCTGGATAGGATAACATGGCTCTTTTCCACAGACTTGACCCCTCTGAATATGCATACAGCATACATCACAATGCATTCACTCATGCAATGCTGGAAAGATCTCTTTTGCCCCTGGATAGATGTTTAAGTAAGTGGACACCCTGTATTTATGCATATACAGTGGAACTTGAACACAGTAAACTTTAATATAATATAACCTTGGTTTTATTGAACCAAACAGTCTTGTCCCAGCAAATCTGCTGCTGCCATCTCATATTAAATTTAATGACCGATTCCAAATTAAATTTTAGAAATGTCTAAATTAAAAATTATTTATTTATAATTATTAAATTTAATACAAGATGGAAGCATAACTGTCTACCTCTAGTCAAATTAATTAATTTCTAATATTTAATTATAGCTTGTACATATCCCAAGAATTTGGCATATTGTTTGGCTGTTTGAGACATATTTTTTCAATTTTCTTGTTTTCTGCAAATCAAACTTGCATTCCAGGTTGGTTCATTCTGTGCTAGAAGAAAAGATGATGATGATTCATGCTTCTTAACAATGCATATTGTATAATTTTCCTTGAGTAAACGTTATACATAAAATATTTGAGTATTTTTTTCGGCAAGGAACACATTATTGTATTTTACATTAATTTATATGGGAAAAATTGTTTTACATTATGAGTAAGATTCTGGAATGAATTACGCTCGTTAAGTGAGGTTCCACTGTAATAATACATTCTCCAATTTTTCTGTTTCTTCCAATTTATTTATTTTATAACAACAACAATAATTATATCCACAATAAACTACTAATGGAAGTAAAATGAAGGAAAAGAATAAATATTTTAAATAGGTCCTTTTAAATTGCTTATCAATAAGTGTCATATTTTTTATACCACTTTGGAGATACAGTAAAAGATATACACTGGTTCAGATTATGCAGAGATGTTATTTTAGTTCTAGCAGTTTGTTGAATTTATATATTATATATCAATACTTCTATATATCAACAATACATTTATGTGGCTGATTGATATATCAATATATCAATCATCCACATGCAAATATGATTTTAAAAATATTTGCATTATTAAAAATTGCAAATAAAAAATTTGTTAAATCTTCATGTCTAAATAGTGAAAAGATTTAATAAAAGAAGGAAAAATTAATACTAATAAAATTTGAAAGGATTATTGCTACTTCAAAACCTTTTTTATTGATATTGATGTAATTAATAAATATTATCATAAATTTGAAACTAGACAGTTCTTTACTTTTAATTAATATATATATTTTTAATTATAGTTTCTAATCAACCAATAATAACACAACAGACACCTACAACTAACGGTATTTCACCTGGTAGTGCTGGCCACCACCGAACATCATCTGCTCCTCCAAATTCTGCTCCTCCACCTGCTCCACCACCACCTCCAGCACCACCAATGAGTGCACCAGCACCCCCACCACCGCCTCCTCCTCCACCTGGTCCAAGTATTCCTTCAAGTTCTGTCCCTGTTGCACCACCACCACCATTACCAGGGAGCAGTGCTACATTACCACGCCCCAGCTCAAGTTCTAATTCCTCAGCAACAGCACCTGTGTCTCTTGCCTCAGCTCTTGCTAATGCTAAACTGAAAAAAACATCATCACAAAAGGTAATAAAATTTTATTACAATAAGATTTAGTCATACATTAAAATATTACAATATCATAAATACTTTATAAATTTAAGAATGTGCAATGTTGTTTACTATAAAAGTATCTAAATACAATATAAATATTCTTACAAGCAAACCCTTATGTAAGATAACTTTTGTAGTTATATAAATCAAATACTATAATATAATAGAAGGGTTAGAAGTACGAAATAATCTAATAATCTTAATGTTTATTCTTATTTTTTCCCAGACAATGCTGGGCTTACCTGCTAGTTAGATTTTAATGCAATATATTTAACTGATTATAATATTAAGACATACTTCCATTGTATATTGCATCTCATTTGTAAAAATGCAATTTAATAAGAACACCTAAAATTTGAAGTTTAGTGAACTGGACAGTTAGTAATCTTTATTTATTCTTTATGAAAGAACCAGCACCCGACCTGATGCAATATTTTTACTTAATTTTACCAATGATGATATGCATTTTAAGTTGTTTGATTAGCTTCAGCACTTCTCGTCTGTCATCTATTTTCTTAAATGAAATTTCTGTCTTTATCTTCTATAGTTAAACATATCCCTTTCAATGTTATTTCTCTTAAAAAGAAATCTAATATCTAAGTCACACATCTTAATGAAACTGCACTTATCATTTTCAACAATATTTACTTAGACAAGATTTTTTTAATCCAAAATAAGCATTTATGTTCTAAAATCAATTTGTGCCTTCAAATAATAAATTGCATTGTACTGTACATCAAAATATTACATAATTTTATTTATTTGGAAACCTAAATTGGTTTTAGAATAAAAATGTTTATTTTGGATATAAAAATTCTTGTTCAAGGAAATATTGTTGGAAATGATAAGTGCAGTTTTATTAAGATGTGTGGTTTGGAGATTAAACTTCTTTTTATGAGAAATGTTGTCAAAAGAAATATATTTAACTATATTAAGAAATAGATATTTGAAGGGGAGTGCTAAAGCTACTCAAAATGCATATCATTGCAAAAATTATGTAAAATTGTTGCATCAGGTCATGTGCTGGTTTTGTCTTCTTTATAAGAATAAGTAAAATTTTTTTAAATGCCAATGTCTAAAAATGGACCTATGAAAACTTCATTTGGTAAGTTTAAGGAACAAAGAAATTCTATGAAACTATGCACTGAAGATAAGCATATTTTTTTAAATATATTTATCAGAAATATATACAGGGTTCCTACGCACCTGGAAAGTCAGGGAAAGTCAGGGATTTTCATTATTTTTTGAAAAAGTCAGGGAATTTGTCAAAAATTGTCAAAAAGTCAGGGAATTTGTCGAAAATTGTCAAAAAGTCAGGGAATTTGTCTAAAATTGTCAAAAAGTCAGGGAATTTGTCGAAAATTGTCAAAAAGTCAGGGAATTTGTCTCCTTAACTGCGTTGTTGATTTCGTTTGCTGAATATAGATGACCAATCATAGCCATACGCAGGCGGCAAGAAGTAATGCTGCAATCTTTAAAACCCGAGATAACTCGGGAAAGTTCCATAGCGTTATATAAAACTCGGGCATTTGGGCCCTCCGAAAAAATTTTTGTTTTTTTTGGATGTTTTTTAAGTCTCCAAATTTTTTCAAAAATTTTTTCCCGCGCGAAAATATTTTATCGCGATTTTAATATACCT